TCATTCAATGATAACGATAACTATAACAGAAACAAGACAATAGCTAAATCAAGTAATATAGTTTCTCATGCACACCAATGATTATACAACATTGAAGTAGACTAAGTATTCATCAGAGTTGTAAATATGATAAATTAAATATTCGTATATTGAAAAGAGAAGGTTAAGAAAATGAAGTCAAGGAACACATTCTTTGTGGTGAATCTACTTTAACATTCTATCAAAACAAATAATCTCTTTGTTTAACTAATTTATTTCTCGTAGTTCCGCTTTTACAGAAGGTAAATTAGACGTTTTCATATAGTTGACATTAGAAAATAACTTTCGAAATCGACAATGAATATGTAAATGTTTCCTTGTGAAATTATTCTCATTCTATATTCACTAGCTCAATATAATAAATTCTATGGAGTCCAATTGACTCAAGGCTAAGATAATTGATAATCGAGAATCGATTCCTAATTGGTGTTCCTCAGCTTAATTATCGTGATGCCACAGCAGATTAATATAATTCTTGTAGTTATTCATTATCAACCATGACTAAGTCGAATAACAACGACTATACGGTTATACCAACCAAATGAAAAAATATAACCACCAATGTAACGATTAGATGTAGAATGTTTGAAGTTAGCCTGACAAACCCATGAGAGAAAAAGATCCTTTAGATTGACTCATACCAATATCTAAGATTTATTTAATATATAAAAATAAATCTTTTTAATAATATTCACATTTTGAAATTATCAAAACATGCATGAGCAGACAAATGAATATTACAAAAAATCGTATAACAATTTAAGGTATAAAATATGACTCATTTTCATTTCTATATTTTACTAGATGGAATGGAACTAGTGCATTCAAACATTATCTGATCAAATAAAATAATTTTATTGGAGCATTTAGTTTTAAAATATATATTAACACACGAATTATAGTTTTAATAAGAGTTTAAGACGGCCTTAGTCTTGTTACATGATATTCATCTTGTGGTTACTGAAAATATTACGATATGCAAGGTATAACTGTAGGCAGAGCAGTGGATTTCACTCGCCTTGATGGATACAATAAATTGATTTACCAATTGAAATAAATCTTCGATCTCAAAGCCAAGTTGTGAACCCGAAATCAATGGGACGGATAATGAAAATATATGATGCTCAAGGATGCTTCATGGCCGTGAGTTATCTATGTCTATATGTAGGCAAAGCGGTGTATTTAACCCGCCTTTATGGACACAATAAATTGATTTACCAATTAGAAAAAATATTTGATCTCAAAACAGAGTTGCGAATCCGAAATCAATAGGACGGATAACGAAAAATAAATGATGCTCGTCAATGATGCATCACGGTTGTGATTTATCTATGTCTATTTGTTAGAAACATTTAAATCTAGGGAAACAATCATGATAAATATTTCATTTTGGGTTTATGTGCAATGAGTTCTACAATATAGTGAAAAAACTATCGGTATATCCAAAAGAGGAGATGAAGAATATGAGTTATGGAAAAAAAAATTTTTGAAGGTGAATCAACTTTAACAACCACATCTTTTACATGATGTGACTTACCACCAGATGATAAAACAAATAACTTGTCTAACTAATTCGTTTTCTTTTTACGGATGTTTTGTTATATATGACTTTGCTTTTATGTCTCCTATAGAATTTAAAGGTATTCGATTATTCTATGAGATTATTTCGTATGTTTTTCTTGTTAACTTAAAAAAATTTCTAATGAAAAAATCTTCAATAGTTCCAGTCAAACTAAGAACGATGCTTAAATTTGTCACAAAACTAGAATAAAACATTTATTATTTTCTAAAAATGTAAATATTCGTTAAAGATTAAAAAATTTAGGGTAAAAAATATTTCTTTGAAAAACATTGGTCTCATGGCATAAAAAGATTAAAAAATATATATAGAAGCAAAAGCAATTGGTATTTTTGCTGGATTTGGTGTTGTGAAACAACTGACGCTTGAAAAAAGTGCATTTAAAACATCAATTAATGTAGCAATATTAGGGTTTCTTGCATATATATTTATCATTTTTCTTGTCACTTGCCAAATTAAGTTTAGAATCTCAAGGTTTCCATGTTTTCAACATTGGTTGAATGGTTAATACTATTTAAACTGATGTAATTAAATGCCTAGAAGTTTTTTTTGTTAACATTGT